ATTTTCTGGCATTTACATCACATCCGCACCTATCACACAACAATATAATAACCAAACCAAACACCAACGTCAGCCTCATCGCACCACCTACCTTCGGCCCCTACTTTTCTTACAGTAACATATATTGCATTACACCTACCTATCGGCAACCCAGCCGGTCCCGAAACTAACTTAGGTATGTTATTGTTGACCGACCACTCACATCAATCCAAAAAGCAAGCCTTGAAAGTAAGGTGGACAAAAAAGCCACAGCGTCACATACCACTAGAAAAGGCTGAACTGAGAAGCCTGAACCAGCAGGAGTTTTTGGCGTTTCTGATACATTTAATACAGGACGCTGATACAGCAGAATGGCCAGCCCCCTTGTCTTGTCAAAGGCAGAGACTATTCTGACCTTGCATGGGAATACGGGCAGATTTACCTAGAAGAACGGAACATCCCGTCTCGGTTTTCAATGATATCGTTTGAAGGTGACGTCCATCCATCCATCCACCCCTTCGAGCGGTCTCGTGACCACTTCCTGTTATATTATTGATGGCCAGCAGCAATTCGGGTCTCGGGACGGAACGTCAGGAGACACACACACACCCACCTTTGAAAAGAAACCCGGATTTCTCACCATATGGGTTGGTGGTCAGTAATTGCTTTTCTTTTCTTCCGCTGGCTACCTACCCAGTGTAGCACCTGTCTACCACAGGGAAAAGTAATCTAAAAGCAATATACAGTTCCTGTCACTTGTGACAGCAACGTTAACCCCGACAGGAAAAGGGGGGTGTGAATTACTCCAACTTCCTCCCCACCACAATCTCAACTCTCCCTCACGCCGACTTGTATATCGCGTGGCCAGCATGCAGTGTAACGAAGAGCGAGACACTTAATTCTCCGGTCTCTCTCTCCCTCTCTGTGACCAAGGTTGTTCTGGAAGACAGCAACAGCACTCGGACTCGCAAGACAAGACAAAAGGTCCGTGTTGTTGCAGTTTACCGCCCGCGATGAGACGTCGTTGGCAGGGAACGGCAAACTGCCCAGCAACAGTGTGATCGCGCGTGGCCGGGAAAATGTGTGTCTTGGAGGTTCACGTTTTGCACACGTGGCTGTAGATTAGCGTAGGGACGTAAGGGTGATGATGATCGTGATGAATGTGCCCCCTGCATCGTGGTGAGAAGGGAGCAGAGTAAAAGGAGGGTTAGGGTTGGAAACATGCTGCGTGATTGACCATGACGCACGATCGACAACTGTAAAGATTTTAGAGGTTGAGGATCCCGTTGTCTTCTTTTTTGTCTCCTCGGAGATGGATTTCCTTGTGAGCCCCAAGCCAAGATCATCTGAACTCGAGCAGGTGCCAGCATCAACAGACGGTGGAGATCAGAGACAGGGCGAAAGGGGAAGGAGGTCTGGGACACCCCGCAGTGGAAGCGGACGAACACCAGTTCTTTGCGACCAAGCTGAGATAGCCATGGGACTGGGATTATAACAGCGTTGCCTTTGTTGGGTCTAAAATAAAACGTTGCATGCTCATTTATTTATTAGTAGGACCGTGAGCCCATTTGCGACGGTGTACTGTGCGCGGTTGTCGAGTGGTAGGTTAGCCAGTGAGAAATGGTAGGTTGTAATGGAGGACCAGGCTGCGGATACGACTTCCATCTGACTCTTGGATGTTACCGTGTATATCCAAGATTCAAGCGCTGTATAAAGTAATAAGTTGGACCTGCTGCTTGAAGAGCACCAAAGATAAATAGCAAGGAGAAGATTGGATCAAAAGATAGGCAATCTCTGGACCATCGACGTCGTTGGAAGTCGTTATCTTATCTCTTGGACCCCTGGCTGATGAGCGAAGAATAAAGTGGGGAGCTTCCCCGCGATCGACAACTGCCATCATTTTTCTCTGGATGCAACAGAACAAGATCCGAAAAAGCAGTGAAGCAAAGCCAAATTCATAGAGCACGCATATTGTTTGCGATTTTGCGTCACTTTCAATTTAATTGAAGCTTTACCTATTATATCTCTCCAGTGCCTCACGCTTCCAGGTCTTCACCGCTTCTACGCAGCCTGAAATGACCCCTCACTCTGACCAGAACGGAGTGCCCGAGGTTCGAGACATTGAACATCCTGGATAGGGACGCCCAGTGTGACAAGAAGATGCCAAGAAGAATGACACCATCACGCAGCTTATGCTCTACAGGACCTGGCGGCCAACGAGATGAATCACCGGCTCTTCTCACCACCGAATCCGGGGTGGTGGCACCAGGCTTTTAAGCCAAGCAAGCACCGGGCGCGCCCGTCCTCCAGCCGTCCAGCCCAGTTCGCACAACCCAGGCGCACCAAACGAGAGCCCTGGATGAGGGGCAGGGAGGGGCAGCGTCTGAATCCAGCATCCGGGGGGCCTCCTTTGGATGCCCAGGTGATGTCAGAGCCCTGGCCAAGACGGGTGCTTTGGAGGCACTAGCAGTTCTTGAGCGATGCTAGTTGGGCGATGAGACGGGATGCTAAGAGGAAGGTGGTGAAAAAATCCTTTGACCCCCCTTGTGATCACGCTTTTTTTTCCCCTTCTTGCGGTGCCTGGTCTTAGAAGACGTGGCTTGGAAGTGCGGAGTTCCAAGAAGCACCAAAACGTATCATTTGATCCCGTTTAGCAAGCGCAGCCTCTTACCGGTTGCCCAACTATTAAGGTGCCCTACTTCCTCCTCAGCAACGCCCAACGTCTACGAGGAATCTTCAAGAAAAAGGAAAAAAAACCGAGTTGCGCACTTCTTTCTGGCTGCGGTACAAATAGCCAGCTTCCTGTTCCGCTTCATACGTACCTGTTTTGGAGAAGACCATTCTTTGTCCTCATATCGCATTCTTCACACGCACACGGCCCACGCCTGGAAGGTCTCTCCCAGTACACCACACGCACATCACCCAAAGCCCTTATCCCCAAGAAACCACCCACTCAGCCAAAATGTCCGGACTTGCTTCCTCTGGCCGCGGCGGCGCCGGCAACATGCGCGACCAGTCCAAGACCCCTACGGTCCAGCCCGAGGACCTCGAGACTCCCACCCTCAAGGGGTCCAACGTTGTGACCACCGGCCGCGGCGGGTCCGGCAACATGGCTGCGAACCTCGACGAGGAGGAGAAGCGCCGGCGTCAGGACGTTCAACCGTAAGTCTCATTCTCGCTACCGCGACACCTGGCCAGCAACCCCGCACTTTTTTTTTGCTGCTTGTTGCATTGCGCGATCGGTTACTCTCTCTCTCTCCAGCAAAGCCGAAGCTAACCACCCCGTTCGGTTTACAGTGTCGCTCGTCGCCCTAGCCATGGCGCCATCAACACAGGCCGCGGCGGCGCCGGAAACGTCGTCAATGCGGACAAGGCTGGGCGCCCCTCGTCGGAGGAGGCGGTTGATACCTCGGATTTGAAGAAGACGCCTTCGCCCAAAACCGAGGAGGAGAAGAAGAGCTGGACGGACAAGTTGTTTGGCAAGAAGCAGTAGGCTGTTTTTTTGCGTGCGAAGGGGTTCTGTTGCGGTTATAAACGTGGGGTTTATGTTCGTTTGTGATGATGTTAAATACCCGGGTTTTTTATTCATCTTTTAGGTGGCGTTGAAAAGGGGTGATGATGTTATTCGGCAGGGTTTTTTTTTTCTTTGGCTTGGAAAAATGGTGAATGGTGAGGAGAATAGGGGGCAGCGTTCAGGGAATTGAATGCTGGATGAGATATCTAGACATGGTTATAATATAATGATGCAATGTCCTAACTTGGGTATGAAGGGTGATGTATATGATTATCCATGATACCTTGCCACAGTGGGACTCTTGTTTTGGTCTCTTGGAAAGTAGAGCCCTGTCCAGTTTTCACTTTGTTAGGTGTATTTTTTTTTATAGTTGGTTCCCCAGGTGATAGTCGCATCTGGCTGATGGTGATGTGATCGCGCTCGGGAATAGCTACCATTGTTTCCCCGCCATCTCCGAGCTGTTCATCCTTTCAATACAACCCACAAACAGCAACAACAGACGACGACCTCTTCACAACGACACATTATACAGCTATACCTCCCTTTTCTAATCAACACCAACATGCCCCCCCTCTCCCCCATTGTAGAAACCCACCGCCCGACCTCTGTCCCTCCCTCTCTTTTGTCGTTGTTATATTCCAAGCCATACTTCCCTTTCTCACTGCCAGTCTTGAGAAGGATACAATTTGCGGAAAAGTTTGCCGATCGGGGAGGCTGTACATCGCATAGCCGGGTGGTGCATGTTTACCACCATCCGGGGGCGCGTGACCCTGACAGGTTCGTGACCGGGTATGTGGACTTGAGCAAGGGGCCAGAGACGCAGGTTTGGTTGTTTTGCAGTTTAGAAATCCAATCAGGGGGTGAAGGAGGGGGGGGGGGTTGGGATGGGTTGTTGCTTAGGTTCTTTCAGGTTGCGGAGGGGGTTATGGGAGGGTGGGAGAAAGAAAAAGATACTAGTTGGTAGTATCCATGAGATGGGTGAGGAAAAGGGATGATCAACTTGGGGATGGGGCTAGAGAAGACAGCTTTGGCTGGGGGGCAGGAGTGGGAGTTTGATTACAAGTTTGTTTTTCGGGTGGGGGATTTACCCGAGTTAGAAGGGGGGATGAGCGACAAGAGGTGGGAGGTGGAGGGGAGGGAGTTTTATTGGGATGAGGTTAGGAAGGGGGATGTTGGGTTGGTGAAGAGTAGGACTGCGATTGATAGGCAGGAGTATGCAACCCTGCTTTGTGAAAGAGGATGGGGGTAGATGGCTGATGTGAGAGAATGTGTAGGGCGACGTTGTTGATGGTTCCTAGTCTTGCTGTGAGGTTGGGAGCAACGGGGGAGGCTGTTGGGTGGGGGTTTCTTGGTAAGTTGTGTTGAACTGATGAGCTGGCCGTGATGGGTTGTTGACTGACGGGCAAAAGGGCTGGATGGGACGTTGATGTCGCTGCATGTGGAGGTAGGTTCCTGCCCGCTTCACTCCAACTGGTAAAATGGACACTGACAGGCAAATATAGGAACCATATCGCCGTCTCGGCTTCGGAAAGGCAATAGCCATCAAACTCATGCGCGAGCGTCTCCACGAATATGGTGACGACGGCCTGGGGGCTGCGGATGTTTGGGTTGAAAACACAAAGAGTCAAGGCCTATGCCGTGCTATTGGTGGTAAACCATCGTGGATTGTATCATGGTATATGCCCTTCCCAAAGACCAAATCATGAAGCTCGGCCTGACATTACAACTCTGCAGGGGAATACTCGATCTTGAAAGCATGCAAAACATCAAGCTCTAAACTTTTGCTACGGCAAAATAAACAAGTCTATGGCAATTCGTACAGATTCCGGCAGATCCAGTCAATCGGTCTTGGTGAGGCGGTGGATCTCCTGGAAGAAGAACTTGAGGTCATCTGGGTTGACAAATGGGGTGATGCCTGGGAACCTGTTAGCGGCGATGAGAGTAATCTATTCAAAAATTGAGACATACCGTGACCGAGGTTAACAATCCAGCCCTTCTTGCGCTCTGCCCAGCTGAAACCCTTGACCATTTCGGTAACAACATCGGTGATGGACTCGTGCGAGCCGTACAGTACACCGGGGTCGGCATTGCCTTGAAGAACCACTGGTCGGTCTCCAATGATCTTGACAGCCTCCGCAGGATCATGGAGCCAATCCATGCCAATCACCTGGTATCCCATATCGGCGCATGCGTCGAGGGCGTACCATGCACCCTTGGGGAACACCACCATGGGAACCTGCTCGAGACCGAGCTCCTTGAGGCGCAGAGGAAGGTGCTTGGCGATATAAGCGAGGTATGGCTGAGAGAACTTCTTGAAGGATGATGGCGAAAGCTCACCAGCCCAAGAATCAAAGACTTGAACAATCTAAGGGAGACAGTCAGCGATCGTGTTCCCGGCCAGTGTATGCCAAAGACAATACCTGAGCTCCAGCCTTGACTTGCAGCGCGAGATACTCCACGCAGAGCTCTGAGATCTTTTGGAGAAGAGCCTTGGTCTCCTCTGGGTACTTGTAGATCCACGTCTTGACCTGCTTGAACAGCTTGGTGCCGCCACCCTCAACCATGTAGCACAACAGTGTCCATGGCGCTCCAGTGAAGCCGAAAAGGGGCACTCGCCCATCAAGCTTTTTCCTGGTCAAAGTGATCGCCTTGTAGACATAGTCCAACTCCTTGGCAACATCGACATGGCGCTCCATGAGCTCGATGTACTGCTTATCCTGGGGAGTCTGCAGGGGATCGGGAAAATGAGGGCCCTTCTTATCGACCATCTCAACAGTCATACCCATCGCCTGGGGGATGACCAGAATGTCGGAAAAGATGATGGCGGCATCGATAAGTCCGCCAAAGCGTTCAATGGGCTGCAGGGTCAAAGTCGAAGCAATCTCGGGACTGCGGCAGCACTCAAAAAAGTCACGACCACCCTTGGCCTCGTGGTACTCTGGGAGATAACGACCAGCTGCACCACCAGGAGTCAGCGCGCGCAAATCAGGGCAACGATGGGCTTCATACCCTGCCGCATCACCCAGATGGGCGGGCGTTCAACGGTTTCGCCTGCGATGTGATGTGTTAGCAGTGTAGCCCTTGTCTCATCTAGACAGTAAGAGAATACTAACCCCGTGCAGCTCTAAGAAGCAGGTCATTCTTGAGAGGGGGGAATGAATGTTCAGCCATTTTTGCAACTTTTCGGATTTTCCTGGGGAACTTTTTCTGAAATGGCAAGTGTCCTGATGTTGCACCAGTGTTCCCTCGTCTCAATCCCGCGGCATCAAGTAATACTTGTATAAAAGTACCCCGCCATCGAACAAATCTCAATTGCACTTACAATTCGAGGCGGGGCCTCGTCCCGCCTTCGGCTGATTCCCCCACCATCGACGCCACAGCTCAACAGCCGGGGCCCCTAGATTTACCCCCCCCCCCCCCCCCCCCCGCGGCGTGCATGGGTCTAGAAGCACTAGCCACACGCTTCCCGTCCCTGGCAATTGACTTTGCGAAGAAATTGTCAATGCTCCTACTGCTATCAAGCCACAAGCAAAGCCTCCGGACTGACGACAACACCACGAAACGATCGACTCCCCCGATAACCACGACCACCAGAGGAAGCACTACGGAATATGCCGTCTCTCGGCTGATCGTCACCCCTTTCCTTTCGATGCGTTTCACGGTATTTCTGATCTCGGCTCGCAAGACTCACAGCCCCGCCGGCGATGATTTCACGGCCCGGCATTCGACACAATGTTATCGCCAATAGCATGCTCGCCAGTTCCTTCGAGACCTACCGTCTCCTGTCAAAGCCCTTGACAAGAGGGGCCAGCTACATTCCGGGACCACTGGAGAGCCAGTGGCGGTTAGGACGCCGACGGATGGGATTCTCCCTACAGTGTCCTCCTACACCACCACCCTGGGCCTTTATGGCGCCTCTCGATCTTTCGAAATGGAGATGGGACCCTCCAAAGTCCCTGGCAGATATCGTTGCGTCAGATCTTACTCATGAGCCTGGCACCAGCCTATCGTTCCTCGCAAGATCAATAAAAGCTTCGCTAGGGCTAGGAGCATCATCAACTCAGCATGTGGTTGATGACTCGGCGTCGGCCCTGTCAGTTGAGCAACCTCCGCCCAAAGTTCGTCGCTCCAATCAGGTCTCCATGTTTCTTGCAGATGTCGAGCTGTTTCGGACCGCAGCGGCAGAGGTGGACGAGCACATGATTATGCCCCTCACTGAGGAGATCAGCAACAAGCTCTACTGGTATATTCTTCAAGGCGATCTGGCTCCCGTGGGTCTTGCAAGAGTGGCAGACCACCTCTACACAGCTTTGGACTCACGACTGCGCGCCACGTCTACTAAAGCAACCACGGAATTGGATGAGAAAGCGGATGAAGCGTATAATAGCCAACTCCTGTTGATCACCACCACCATCATCCGCGCCTTGTCCAACTCGCGGGTCTATCCTTTATCTTCTCTCGGCGCACGGTTCTGGGATGCCCTGGGTGAACGATTGGCGATGCTACCTGCATGTGATGAGACTTGCAATCTCCTTGCCCCTTTCGTCTCCTTGCTGTGTGATTTGCCACATATCAGCCTCACAGTAGGGGTCCAGGAAAGCCGTTTTGAGAGGCAGCTCTTGCGGCTGCTAAATAAGCATTTTGTCCTCTGGGCGTGCACGTCATCGAGAACCGAAGCTGCCCAGGACGATGCTTTGGACTGGCTTTCGCCCAAGACATCTCAAATGCGTCAGGCCCGCGCGCTTGGTGCGGCACTGGATGTTTTGTTGAACCATATAGGCGGGTTGAACGATACAGGCCGGTACGACCGACACCATCTTCTCAGCAAAATCAATGACACGGTCAAAAGGGTTCTGGTCCGGTCATCCAGTCTTGCAGAGAAGTGTGGGCTGAGATATGCTTGGCTTACTACGCTTGCCCATGCACGCACAATTGGAGAGCCCAACTTTGTACAGACTGCCCGCCTTTTCACCAAGGAAGAACCGAGCCTCCCACCATTGAGTGGAGCTGAACTCGGATGGCTATTGCTCGCACAATGGAATAGTCGGCAGATGGTTAGATCGGACCAGCTCGTTGGTATATATAACTACTATTATAGGGAACGGCGCCAGATTCAAGATGACGCAGCAGCACTTACGTCTTTTTTGAAGGCTGTTTACCACCACAACATTCTATATACGTCGCCGGACTTGGCTGTGCAGACATACGCTATCAACGCAGTACCAAAGTGGGAACGTGAAGAATGGGGGATAACCCCATTAGCCCTTTTCCACGCTTACGGAAGGACTGTCTGGAGGCTGTTAGATGCACTTGGCCGCGTGGGCGACGTGCTCGTCTCGCTGGAGGCTTATATATGCCCCAGAAATGGGGGTATGGTCGGAAAGAATTTCCTCGAAATCCTTGCAGAATCGTCTGGCATGCGCCACGAGGTCAGAATCGACATCGCCGAGCTCTTCAACTTTGAGCTGCGGCATCCCGATGCATACGAGTTCAATCCCTGCAGCATTGAGCATGTTGCAGAGAAGATCATCAAGGATGAAAAGTTGCCACCAGATACGATCTGGCGATGCCTGGGTCTTTACAACTGGGTTGGAGGCATGCTTGGATTCAGTGGCGGCTACGCCAAAGACCGCAGTTGCTACAGTCCTAGGCTCTACAAGATGGCACAATACAGGATCATAACGAATGCGGCAACCTGGTTCGCCGAGCGACCCGATCTCAGTTACAGTCAGAAATATCGACATGTGTATCTTTGCATCCTCTTCTTGAAGCGGCGAGGGAAGAAGACACTCCCTGCAAGTGCCTTGAAGGCTCTCTACGACGTTGCGGTGGAAGACTTGAAGGCGGGCAGATGGGGGAGGACGAGATTACTGCTGCACTTCTGCAGGTTGGTCGGGGAGATCCAGGGCCCAGAGGCTGAGCGTGAATGTCGCCTTGCGTTTAGTCTCTGGCGACAGAGGTTGGCTCGGCTCAGAAGTTGAAGGGAATAGAGGAGCATTTTCTGCAAGCCGAGGGCATCGAAGAGTTGGAAACAGTTGTTGAAAAGACGGAGAAGCTGCTCAGGGAGAAGCATGTTGGCACCCATGTGCTTGATGATGATATTGTGGAAGCCCAGGAAACTCAAAGAGAGACCGGTTGCCATGACCAATATGCGGAGGATGATAAGAATCGGGAATGGTGGCCCAGGGGCATGAACCCCAATTGGTAACCTTGAAGGTTTCTCAGGGGGTAACTAATGTCTGTTGACAGTTACCCATATACAGTCTATGATACCCATCTATCTATCTATCTATCTACCACTTTTTTTTTCTCACGCATTCTTTTTCTGTTACCCCGCTTCCTTTTCTTTCCGGAGAAAGCTTTGACGGTGTGTACACAAGTGGTCTTGGTGTGTGTTACGCAGGTGATCACAGGGTTGTTATGTCTTACCAGGAGCAAAGGTCTTGTCAGAGTGAAGGTGAACCGGTCCGAGAAGTAGGCAAGACGAGATAGAAGAGAGAGCCTGACCACCAATGCAAAAAGGATGGATACGTATGAAGGGCCAGAGGAGGGAGATGCAGTGTCCGGGCCGTGCGGTGGGTTGCTGTGTTTTTCTACTCTACACTAGATTACATGCGTCGTGCTCGCAGGCATGGCTCGGAATGCACTGCTTGTTATTACTGACCTGGAAGCTGCAGGTCGTTGCGTTACACAGAGACACATAGCTACACCACAGCTAGCAGTCACACGAAAGGGGGAGAAGAGAATCAGCAGCGCGTGGGAGTGAGGTGTGAATGGTTTCGGTTGCCACGATGCTTCTTCCGATCCTGCCTGCGGTGTCTTGCTCTGGTGGCAGAGAGAAAGTCGATCCATCCCTGGACACTTACAAGAGCAGGTGGACAGGGTAAGGAAGCTACCCATCTAGGGGAGGATGCCCGGATAAAAGGTGCCCTTTAACCCCACAGGCCTCCCCCAGCCTTCTTTTCTCTGTGTCTTCTTGTTGGAGGGGTACTGACGAATGTAGGTCCTATGTCCATTGCTCACT